GGTGCAGCTGGCCGGCTTCGGAGTCCAAGCCCGGGTCGGACGGCACAGGTAGGAGGCGCCGGGATCGCACTCGGGTCCCTGGGGCGCCGGGCTCTGCCTGCCAGGCTGCAGCAGGCCAGGGCTGGGTGGGGTGCAGCCGCAGCTGTGGAGAGGGGTGTCACGGACCCCTGCGTGTTGACCAGAGCCTGGGAGCTGGCACGTGGAGCTGGAGGGAACCCAGAGATGTGGGGTCCAGGCAGGGCGCTGTGGCCTCTGGAGCACCCTCCCTGGGGGTGCTAGCTAGCCCCTGCTCCCCAGTAAGCTCTGAGGTGGCCCCACTGGGAGGTCAGCAGCCTGCGGAGCTGCTCCCCCGGGGCCTGCCCTCGGCACCCCGGCTGGTGCCACACGCGGCACCACCTGCCGCCCCATGCTGAGGGAGTCCCGGGGACTGCCTGAGCGCTGTGGAGCTGGTTGCCGGGCGCCCCAGCCAGGGTGCCCAGCTGCCCCCTGAGGAAGGGAGGCCTGTGTCAGCGCTGGCTGCCTGGCCCTCCTGGCTGCGGGCCCTGCCGCCCGGCCTTTGCCGGCGGAGCTGCTGCTCGGGCGGGTGGACCTGGCTTGCTCTGTCCCTTCTCGGGGTTGCCATGCGGGTCGGGGCCCCTAGGGAGAGGGGCCGGCCGCGGAGACCCCCGGCCCCAGGGAGTTTGGCCAGGGACACTGCTGGGAGGTAACTGGCTTGGGTGCTGGCCGGGGCCCAGCAGAGCGTGGGCTGCCGCCGCCTTGACCATGGGCAGGGAAGTGAGTCGGCCAGGACCAGACACTTACCCCCAGAGGGGAGAGGGGAGCACCGCCTGGGCGCGATGGAGGGGGCAGGCAGCGCGGGCTGTGCCTGTGACTTTAAACAAAGGCCAAAGCCAGGCCCAGAGGTGCGTCTGCCGGCCGGCCCCCTGGCAAGTCGGCCAGCGGTGGGCCCGGCGGTGCCCAGCCCACACGCTTGGCAGTGCCTTGGTCCTTCTGGAAATGCCGGCGGCTGCCTGCGCGGACGGTGGTGGTCAGTCCAGGGGCCTGGCTGACCTGGTGGGTGGGGCAGTCGGGTGCGGGACCCCTCTTGGTGGGCCTGGCGCTCGGACCCCGACCCTCTCTGTTTACCGCCTGTCAGGAAGGGACGTGGCCATCCCCGCCCGCAGGGACACGGGCCAGCATCCCTGGTCTTAGTTCCCAGAGTGGGCCCAGAGCGAGACCGGACTGCTGGGTGCACACCCCAGGAGCCAGCAGGGCTCCCCAGGAGAGCGGGGCTGGGGGAGGGAGCTGGGGAGGGAGCGGCCGGCATCTGGCCTGGGCCAGGGACAAAGCAGGCCCTGAGCCGCTGGCCGGTGCTGGGAGGAAGCGGCTGCGGCTGGCAGCCCCCAGTTCCTGGGGTTGTCACTCACTCGCGGGGCTGCTAGCGGCCGCGCGCAAAGAAGTCTCCAAACGGGCTTCTGAGGTGCCCCGGGGGACACACCCAGACGCTCTTTAAGGCGAGTCAGTATTTGCAGGCCACTTTCCGTGGTTGAGCTTCGTGGACGCGCCGCCTCGCTCCGCCCCAGCCCGCCGCCCTACGCGCCCGCAGAGCCCACGTGGCCC